GTACGGTATATGTCCCAAAGGTGAAATATCATCAGCAATAAGTACTCTTATTATGGGTCAATATAGACTATTGAAAGTCAAAGTTATACATTTTTGTTGTGAATGACCATGTTGAAAATATTATTCGGGTACTGTGAAATTAACATTTGATGTATGTGGCTAGAAATCTACAAATTTGGTGTTTTACTGTACATTATGCTACCCTCCTGAAGCATTTTTGAGACTTTTAATGGATGTTACAGATAGTGCAACACATTTCTTATGTCTTTTCTACATCTCTAGCAAGTATTGGACTTGGTTCATAAAAACTTAAGTATCTAAAAAGATAATTCATGCTATTTATTCATGGCAACTTTATAGCAGATGTTGGTGACATCAGTGCCTTGGCAGTTGAAGAAAGAGTATCATGTAGCTCAAAGATCAATTATTAAATCTTTGAAAAAATTAATGATAAAACCCTTTTAAGAAGCTTAATTTCATCTGATACTTGTGAAACATATCATGAACACAAATTTTCTATCTACAACGTGTGAACATTGTACATACTCATTTCTTATATGACTCAGGGTCTTCTTGTCAAGTAAACACATGGACGCACTGCTAATGTATATAATTTGTAACATTTTATCACAGAGGTCATGTCAGGATCTTACTCAGTAAAAAATACTTACCTACTTGTCTATGTCCTACTAGCTTATTACTTAAAATATGTTAATCTATGATAGCCACAAATATCTGTTATTATTATTGTCCTGGATATTGAAAAAGTGATTGATGGTAGAATATAGTATTTTTGGAAGGCTAAACAAATGATCTTATCAAATTTGAAAGCTCTAAAACAAAGTAGCTTTGTAGTATAGTAAATAGCAGTATCTACTCATTTTGTAAAGTTCAAAACCAAGGAAAGAAACAAGAAAGCAAGCATGCTGTCAAATTTTCCACTTTTGAATGAAAACTCTGCTCAGCAGATTTTTTTAAAGACCATTTTCCCAGAGTCCATTGTGTGTAAGTGTATATAATTAAATGGTATTCTGTACATAGTGTTATAGTCTAAAAGTTATGCATGATTTTCCATATTAAAGTAAACTAAGCAAAAATAAATGTAAATACAATTAAACTCTCTAGTATACTTAATTAACCATTTATATATTTTAATAACCATTCAAAGGTTTTCTTTTGTTTTAATTTTGTTCTTCTTAAAGCTTTCAGATGTATTTTGTAAAGGAAATTGGTCAATTGTAGCTGTATGCACATTTGCCATCTGAGAACAGTGTGCCACAAAGAAAGCCAGAAAGTGTACCTTCCTAGTTACATTTTGTGAGCCTGCCTTGCTGTTTGCTCTCTGGCAAACATTTAAGTAATATCTATTTTCTTCATGTGTAGCTCTCTCATGAACAACAGACACTGCTTTAGGTTTTTCATTTTTTGAATTTGCCATTAATTATATATTAATGCCATATGTAACACCGATGCATTGTAATGTTCATTCTATGCAGTTTAATCCAGGTTTGAAATATTTTACTACCTAGGGGTGTCTTTAAAAGTCACCTGAACCCTATGTGTTTCAGCCAAACAATTGTTCTCACCTGGCTTCTTATATTATGGATTTGTAGACCATGCCTGTTTCCTTTCTATTTTTTGCTTCATATCCAAGTTCATGAAGGAGGCCTGTTTCTTCCGATAAACACACCGGCTATCCTACTTCTCTTCTCCAAGGCTACCTATGCAGACTCATCGACTCTCACCAGGTCTCAAATCAACACAGTGTTGGACATGCTCCTCATCTGCCAAAGCCCTGTAGAGACATTCCATGTCTCAGAATAATTGACAGCACTGTAGGCCAACCTGGCCTTCATGATTATTATCTTTTGTTTTTCTTCTCCCTTGTCTGTTTCTTCATCTTCCCATTTCTGCGCCTCATTATTATCACTCTACCACATAGGCTGAAGGATAGATGTTTGTCCTGGTTAGTTGTGGTTGTTGCCAACTTGAAGCAGAAATCTGAGGTCGCCCATACACGATCCTGATGAGACTCATCTAGTCACATTATCTCAGTAGAGGCCTTCAGTGGGTTCAGTGAGGATGCCCCTCACTAAAATTCTGGTCACTGCTAAGTAAGAGGGCAATAGTTATGATATAGGACCGGGAGTCGATAGAGCATCCAGAGGATTATGCCTGAGTTGTCTGTTCTTCAGCAAGCAACCTCAATAATCTCACTGAACCCACCAAACAGTGCTCGACTCAAAACCTTTCTGTGTTCTGTTATTACCCTCCATATGGGAGCACAGATATTTCCTTATACATCCTTAGGAAAAGAAAAACAGTGTGGTCTCTTCTCCTGGTCCCTGTGTTTGTCACCCGTATCTGTCCTTTCTACTCTCAGAACAGGCTTTTCTCAGATGTCACCTCAGCTAGAATTCTCTTGACCAACTATTTAAAATCTATTCTTTGGAGGACTATCCATGCTCGTCTTCATTTTCCCCATAGCTTGTGCCCCTTCCTAACATAGTATGAGTTCCTATCACATGCATTTGATAAAAGCCTTCCGATGCAGCAACTTGTGTGGCTTTTGTTCTCCTTGTATCCTCATAATCTGAAACAGGATGGGCCCATAAAAGTAAAGTGCACCCTATAGACCTGATACAGAACACCCAGCCAAATGAAAATGAAGGAGTCTTCTCCAAATATTCTTTTGTTGTTTTCTGTGGTGATTTTTTTATGATCTAATAAAGCCATTGGGGATCAAAATGCAAAGCTAGCCACAGCCATAGAGCCAGGCAGTGGCGATACACACAGAAGCCATACTAGTTAGCCGTAGAAGCCAGGCAGTGGTGGCACACAACTTTAACCCCAGGACTCAGGAGACAGGCAGATGGATCTCTGTGAGTTCAAAGCCACCCAGGGTTACACAAGAGTAAATCAGTCTAAAGGAATAACAGAGCTCACACCTTTAATCCTCATCATGAGGGAGAAGAAAGGAAGAAAGCCAGAAGCAAAGGGTCTCGAGATTTAGCTTCCAGACAGGGAGAGCATTTACTGTAAGGATTGGTGGAGGCAGGATTATCCATTTCGATATGAGGTAGATGTAAGAGCTACTGGCTTGGTTGCTTTGCTCTCTGATCTTCAGCTTGAACCCCCATATCTATCTTTGGGGTTGTTTATTTTTTTTGTGTCACAGCTTGCCATTTTCTTATTAATATGCCATCAAACCTTATATTAGTAATGTTAAGCTGTTATTTGGTGTCACAGATACTTTCTTTGGTGATTGCAAAAACACTTTTACTTTGTAGTATTAAATGATATTTAAATCTATATACCTTGTTTTCCATCATACTCAGAAACCTTTTCCTACTCAATTATTTAAAAATTACTAACATTTTCTTCTATGTCATTTGAAGCTTTTTCCTTCACTTGAAAAATAGGTGAACTCAGATGTGATTGTGTGTCTGCAATATTAGCATTTGTGAGGCAAAGGTCTGAGGATTGACAGGAGCTCAAGGCAAGCATGAGCTACACAACAAGACTGTCTCAGAAAAGCAATATATGAATAAATAATACTAAATCCATATAGCTTCTCTCCTACTGTAGGAATTGGAGGGTCCAACTTTCATTGTATCTGAACCCTTTAGTAAATATTCTATGGTTCTGTCATCATTTGGAATTTCATGTTCATAATGCCACTTGTATTATATAATGGAAGAAATGTTCTCCTGTTCTGTTTTTTTTCCATCTAGAACTTCTGTGTCCAAATAACACATGTAGACATCTTAAGTATATCCTGACTTTTTATATTGGTTTCCTCTACCCTTTCTGTTTTTGACAGTGGAAACAGTCATGATAATGCCTATATGCTTTCTTCTCGATGATGCTTCTTGGACTTGAATATTGACATCAAATTGTGAAAGTCTGTGTCAATATGATGTGAATAAAGTGACTTCCTTCAGTTGTCATATGCTTTTTTTGTGCTAGTAACACAAAACCTATCAGATTTATAGCTTATTTTTGTTATAATGAAAGGATATTGTTGGATTTTTGAGGGTTTTAAAAATGTATTTTTAAACCTTATTAAATTTTACTATCTGGGGATGGAGAGATGGCTTAGAAGTTAAAAGCACTTGCTGTTCCTGCAGAGAAGACCTGGGTTCAATTTTCAGCACCCACATGGCAGTTTATAACCATCTGTAACTCCAGTTCTAGGCGATTTAATGCCCTATTCTTGCCTCTGCAGGCACCAGGTGGTACACATATAGTCTAAACATACCTACACATAAAAGAAAAAATTTAAATATAAATAAATAAACCTCATCATCCATACAGTAGAATAAGGTTTTATTCAGTTTGTGCCAAATTGGTTTAAACTCCTGTGTGGTCATTTCAATGCATGTTTGTCAAGTACCATAGTTCTTTATAACCTGCACATCTTTGGCAAGCCTTCACTTTTTTTCATCTTAAAATGGTGACAGTAGTGTCATTTTAATCAGGAACTTGGCTCTTGGAATTCATTAATCCCTGTACAGTATTTATCATGACATTTGATGCAAATCAATTATTTAATGATACTTCTTCAGGTTAACCATATGTGCCCATACTTGTAACTTAGAGCAAAGTAGTCCATTGAGGTTTTGAGGGAAAGGTGGAGACCATGATTCTGTTAACTGTTCTCTTACCTATATGGGAAATGAGCAAGCCTGGCAAGTGCTCCTTTGGTTAATTGTACACTTAACAAACTAGATACCATGTTGGTCTGCAAAGTAGATTTTATGAAATCTCCATGTGTGCTTAGATTAGCAATTTGAGGTAATAGTAACAATTTCCTTTGATATTTATCAAATGTCTAATGAATTTGAGAGTTGACAGAACAAGTATTTTCTTCCTGAGAAATATATGGTTATGCTTTTCCTCCTTCTCCATAGCAGAGAGTTAAGAGAAGAAACACGATGATGTCTGCTTTCTGTAATGATGAGCTCATTCTCCTTTTTCAAACTGTCTTCCTTTTGCAGACCCATTCTGAGGAGAGGCCATTTCAATGTAACGAATGTAAAGCCTTGTTCCGCACTCCATTTTCTCTGCAAAGACACCTGTTAATCCACAACAGTAAGTGCCAATCCCAGCAGCTGAGGACAGATAGGGTTAATTCCTGCTGTGTTCTTATACCCTTTCAAAATGTAGACATCACAGAAATGCACTGTGAATTGTTAGGCAATCTGTGCAAAGCATAAAGAAGATGGATTGCCGTTAACCATTTTATGAGATATTTTCTTTTACATCTTCTCTTCCCAGTATTTATACTTTGTACGTAAAAAGTTACCCCACACTTAGTATGCTTTGAACATTGTTCTGAAATACAGACTTTCATTCCCTTTTAACTATGATGATTAAGGAAACTTGTCTACCTCTGTAAAAGCGGCAGTTATGTCACAGGTCAGGGCTTTACTAGCTCACAGGCTTAAAGTTAGAATGGGTCAGAGTGCACATCTACTCCACCACCTGTTTAAGGAGAACTTGAGAATACTGAGTCTGACGGGACCCACCCAGTCATTCAATAGGGATCTTAGACATTGCAATCACGTTTCCATAGGCAGGCACCTTTCCTACTTCATGTACAACGTCCGATTTTTGTACTTATTTTGAGAGGTAAATTTTTATTATGTTCTATGTAGACACACATCTTTTAAAAATGTATTTGTAAAGTTCCTACTGCTGCTTCAATATTAAATTCCAAATCCAAGGAATTGTGATAATCGGTTGTACAGAGTGGTGACTTAGAAGGAAGTTTCTCTGCTCAAGTCACGGTCTAATATGAAAACTAATGAAGATCTTAAGCTTTTTGACATGTTGGTGATGATCATGAGGAAGGAAGCTGCTTCCTGTAGGAAAAGACAGCCTGTGTTTCCAGTCCAGGTCAGTCACTATATAGCTAGCTCCGAAGAGTACTTAGCCTAGCTTTACATTTACTCATAAAAATAACTTTGTCATTAAAGAATGAAGCTGTTGCACAGCAGCAAGAATCATATTGTGCTAGATAGCTTAAGAGATGGATGAATTTTAGAATAGGCATTTAGGCAATGAACTTCATTCATCCCATTAAGACATAGCTGAATTTGGCTTGATGCTAAGGCAGTTTTTTATGGGAAAAGTCAAATTTTATTTCACATAGCAACAATGAATTTGTACCATCTTGGCTCTCAGCATCTTCAGAGGAAGGACTAACATGGCTTGTGAGACTGTTCTGTGTGCTCTGTGTCTGAAATCGTGATGAGAAACACTAGAAGAGACTTTCTGAAGCTGCACTGTGGTGTCCGGCAAGGAAAGTCAACCTCTAGAATTTAGGGATTAAGTAAGCAATGTAAGGCGCAGACAGGCATCAGTGAAGACCAGTGAGTTAAAACAGCAGGAAAACTAGACTGGCTAAAGCAAAAAGAACAACGTACTTAGTTTTGTTTCACACAGTGTTAACAGTACAGCTAGTTTCACTTTAAGACATAAAAAGTATTATTATAAACACACGTCTTCATCAGAGACTAAAATATCAACAATTTGTCTACTTACTTTGGAAATTATAGCTTTTTTCCTTTACACTGAAAATCAAAAGACATGTCTCTGGCTGGCTTCTAGGTAAGGTTAGGGGATATTCTGATAGAATTAAGACAGAGAATCTGATAGAAGTAGCACATCAGAATTGGGAAATTCTGTAATTTTAAGGCAAAGAAATCTGAAGTCCTGTGTGTGTGGCTTGACTGTTGACTTGTTTTCTAAGGTGAAAGGACTTTCAAATGTCATCACTGCGATGCCACATTTAAAAGGAAGGACACATTAAATGTTCATGTCCAAGTGGTCCATGAAAGACACAAGAAGTACCGATGTGAGCTGTGCAATAAGGCCTTTGTTACACCATCAGTGCTCAGAAGTCATAAGAAAGTAAGTGGAGACTTCATCAAGGCAGAATGCCTTGTAAGTTAAGGATTATGGGCATATATATTGACTGTCTTGTGACAGTTTATATTAACTCATGACATGCTTGTTTGCAGTGACAAATATATGATTATGTTAACTATCCAAGAAATACCTGTTTTCTCTATTTTTCAGAATAGTCATTTTCTCATGAAATGAAACCTCCAAGTTATTTGTATGTTTTGTATAATCTTTAGTCTTATTGACAGGTAGGCTGAGAAAATACTCAGTAATACTGTCCATTTTTACCTATTTTTACTTAATACAGAAAATTTCTTCTAAAAATATGAATAGCACCTCAGGTAGGTTGTTGTGGTTGTTTGTTAGTTTTGGTTTTTCGAGGCATGGTTTTTCTGTGTTACTCTTGGTGTCCTGGAATTCAGTCTTTAGACCAGACTGCCCTCAGACACACAAAGATTCGCTTACCTTTGCCTCCGGAATGCTGGGATTAAAGGCATGCAATACCACCCCCTGGATAAGTTGTTTTTATAGAACTAATTCAAGTGTTTACTGGAAGTCTAAGGCACTGGAGATTTCCTCTTATAGAACTGGTGTTTGACAGATACTTATTCAGTTCATATGAAATAATTTCCATTGTGATTTCAAGATTATCTTTTTGTGTTATGCTAATTAGATCAATATATCAAACAACTTGAGTTTATTTTTGTATTTCATAAAAAATATAAATGCATTTTAAATCTCTTTAAAATGACGAGGCTATTTAATGACAAACTCAATTAAATTTCCAAAGTTGGTGGTGCGAGAAAGTGGCATATAAAACTCATCCACCTCAGTGTGGACAGAAAGCAGGAAGGGAGAACACAGGAGGAGCCAGGGCAAGATTTATTCCTAAGGACACACATTTCAGCCTGGCCCCACCTCCTCCCTTTCCCCTACTTCCTAATAAGGCCATCAGATTTGAATCCTTCCCTAGATTTGGTCAGAGGCTTCATGATCTGATGGTCTGCAGAAATGCCATTTTACACACCCACTGAGGTATTCATCACTAATCCCTCAGCAACTCTTCAGACAACTGACTTGATGGTCATAGTTAGCTATTAGCAGACACTACCTGCCTTTACTCCTTTTCAGGCTACTCTCAGGAAAATTTCTCAAAGCAATATTATAAAGACCACGTGGGTAGATACCTGAAGAAATTGCCTCCTCCTGATCCCAGCCACTAACATTTTTATTGTTCTAAGTTTGAAAAGCCCTGATACTTCACAGATTGCTCCTGACTCCTCATTCACTAGAATGATAGAATATTTTTCTTTTTGTTTGTTGGTAGACAAACTAGTCTCCTGCTGAATATATGAGGCTTTAACATACTCTATCATTCCTTCTGAAGCCATCAGCAGTTTTCTCAGCACGTTTCATTTGTTTGTTTGTTTATTTATTTGGCAGTGATAGAACCCAGAGCCTCCTGCCTGGTAGGCAAGTATCCTAGCACTGAGTTGTATTCCCAGCCCTAGACACTGGCTTCTTTAAACTGTGATTTACAGGTGCTTCTCTTTCGCTAGTATGATTATTTTGTGCCTAGATAGTAAGTATGGGGAGGACAAAAATTCTCTTTCCAATTGACTGCTCAGTTATCACCTGCTGGTTTTCTAGGCCAAACTGAATGTATAATGCTTTCTGTTTTGTGGGGAAATCTGTCTAGACAAGCCTAGCATAGGTTACACATGACTTTCTAGAGATTAATTCTGCCCTTCAGAGTGAAATATACACAAAGAATGTGGTAAATGATTCAAAATAAATGTTTCTTGGCAGCAGTCAAGGGCAACTCTGGCCCCATTTTGATTATCTGGTTTTGCTGTATGCACTGGTTTTATATAACTTAATCACGTTTGGTTAGACAAGGATTCCATAAAGGCTTAGGCAGTAAACTGCAGAATTATTTTCAAATTAACGCTAATGCATGTTTCTAAGGGATCTTTGAACCCATGGGATTATCCATGATAAATTGTTTAAAGTCGCATTGTGACATTAAATCATTTTAATGAAACATAATCCTGGAAAATACAGATTTACTATCGTCAGAGGTACTTAATCATCTTTGCCAAACTCTTTGTATTTATCATCAACTATTTTTATTCCTGTTTAGACACACACAGGAGAAAAGGAGAAAGTCTGCCCATATTGTGGCCAGAAATTTGCCAGCAGTGGGACACTGAGAGTTCACATCCGGAGCCACACAGGTATGGAGAGTGCCCTGGCGCTGGAGAAGCAAGAAGTGAGTGTCAGGACAGAGAACACGGCTGTCCAAGGAGTTGCCAAACCCTGTTAGCCCTCTTCAGAAGAACCATTAAGACAGTTCGTACTAGAGAAGAATTCCAGTAGTAGAATTCTCCCCCAAGTCGAATAAAATAGTGGTGTGAACACTTTGGTTGAGCGGTGACACTCAGGATTCTGTCCACACTGTACTTTTCACAGCACACAGAAGGCCTCCTCTTCATCCATCCTCTAACTCACATCAGTTGTTCCTTTTTGAGTATAAAAAGTGCCTGCCATTCTGACTGAATTCGGTAGAGTATTATTTCATGTGGTATGAGGGGACTGTGAGGTAAGCTGATTCTTAAGGGTCCCAGACTCTTTCATTTTGCTACTGCAATTTCTCCCAAGAAAGAGAAGGTGACCACTGATGGTGAATAGCTAAATATTTTTGAAAGGAGCTTGACTACAGTTTATCTACTGGGTAGACTAAATGATTTTTCTACTCTTTCTGATTTCTAAATAATTTTACACGTGTGTGAATTGTCTTCCAGCTAAGTCGAATGAATTTTATTGCATTATGTAGCTGAAGTTTTCTACTTAATGGCCATAATATATGACTTAAAAAAGTATTTCCCACACCCAGGATGGTGACTAGAGTAGAAACATTTTTTAATGTATAAATAATTATTAGTTTAAATAGATGAAAGAATTGACAGTGTGACATATATATAAAGGAGGGACATTGGAGCATAATTTAAAATTTTTTCAAACAAGCTAAATATCATGCCTTTAACTTGGGACCTTAGAATAGTCAGTCTCATACTTGTAAATGACACACATAACCAGTGACAAGCCAAGGACTGTGTGGGAAGACTGTGGATACCAGGTTCTTTATAGAGGAATGTCTCAGAAGATTTCTAGGGAAATAAAGGCTTTTAGGACAAAGTTCAAGGGTGTCAAAGACATAAAGGTGACCCAAAGATGAGAGAAGGCAAAGGAAAAGAACAGCAGAGGGCCGTTCAGGGAGCAGGCGTCATAACACACAGTGCACACAGCTGCTTTCTGACAGCAAGGCATGATGACTAGGGAACCGTTCTCCAGTGGGGTAGCATGGATGTCATTGGCCATCCCTTCCTACTGTGTAAGAGGGACCAGGTGGAGTTGGGTCTGATAAAGGCAGCAGTGAGATCACCTGTCTTCTCTGTGCCACACTGAGAAAGTTATTCCAGTTTGCCTGTCTGCATATGTGTATGAGTGTGTTGCTTGTAGATGGAAGGAGAACAAGCTGTTTCTAGGGCAAGAGAGTTATGTCTATATGTCAGAGAAGAAGCTTATAGGAAATAACCCCTAACACAAGCTTGCGTGATTGCATCAAGCCAGGTGCCATGTCTTTAAAAGCAGAGACTTTTAGGTGTAGGTTCCAGCACAGAAAAGATAGACCGAATCAGATAGAACCAGGATCTTACTAATTTCTCTATCCTTGTGAATCATTTGTAGGAAGAATGCCCAGTAGAGAAGCATAAATTACTCGTGCTTCACAATACTCTGAATGTTTTAAGTGTTAATCTTTCTGAAATTCAAGAGTTTTATGTGACAAAGATATCAAATATGTGATGTTGGTCCTGTTTTCTGGTAATATTTCAATATTATGTATATTCTAAAGAGTATCCTAAAATCCTAATCATTTTGCATTAAATGTAACATAAATCTGACTCTGAGGCATGGTGATGCCCATATGTATACTTGTGTAGACAGATAGATTTTTTATACACATTCAGTCCCATTCTCGGCCCTGCTTTATGTCATTTGGATGACAAGTCTGTTCAGTGATAACCTCCTGCAGAGTAGCTGGAGCAGTGTTGCAGAGCTGAGGATGTCTGACTGGAGGCTAGTGACTGGGCTTCTTCAGCAATCTTGACATGGGTTTCTCTTCTACGTATGAATAAACAAGATTTTATTGCATTCTCAAAAGCTGAGAATCCACTTACCCCTGAGAACAGATACCCGACCACTGAGGTTGTGGCTTCAGTGGATACTTTGTGCTCTGACAGAATTGCAGCAGAGCTCTTACTGTTCGGGATGTTGCCAAATTATCTTTTTCTCTGCCTTTATTTTTATTTTCCTTTGGATTTCATCCATCCCCTTTTAAAGGCTATTTTGCAATTTCTGGTTGCCCTCTAGCATGCCAGTAGTGAAGGATCCCAAGTTGTTTATGGAATGGTCAGTGAAGTGTCAGCACCCCCAGGTGAGCCGGTGCTTGATTACAGCAGGCAGGACACAGTTCTGTGCGCACTGAGCTTGGCTGAGCAGGACACACTGCTGCCACAACACCTTCCTCTTGATGGTTCTCAGGGTCCCTAGGGAGTGCTCATTTCTATCCACAGCTGTTGACCACATTAGCAATTTAAGCACAGTATCTTATTAGAAAATATAAGAAATAATTGCTTTGTTGAAAATGACATAGGAAGTTCATTCCAGGTGAACATGCTTTTATAGAAAAATAACTATGCTTTCCAATCATAGACCATTAGGGAGGATGAAGACATGGACTTGACTGTCTGGATTTTGACAAGACAGTTAGATTTTCATATCTGTTTCTTCATTCATCCTGCAATGGGTAGCTGGGGCTGCACAATGTGCAGCAGTCCTGCAGAGTAGTTTGATAGTCTTGATCAAATAATTTGGGGTATTATTTGCTACTAGACTAAAAATCGAGAAGCAAACTTTTAGATAAGGATTGCTATTGTACGCAACCTAAAATTATTTCAGTGACCCTTTTCTGCTCGGTCACTTTAAAACCCACCCATCTGTGTTGTGTTTGGAATGAACCTTTCACCCATGAAGGATTCAGTAACAGGATGCACAGGTCATTTGGGAAACGTCCCTCTTTGAATCCTGACGATTTCCACATTTGGTAATGCCATTGCCGAGCTCATCAGCCTGTTCATTCAGCGCTCTGCTTGTCTGTTTCACTTCATGTATTTTCCAGTTACTGCCACACTTGTCATTCTTGCCTCCGTTCTTTGCTGTGCATTGATACCCAGTCTTTGTCATTTGTTCTTTTGCTGTATATGAGAAGAATATTCCATGAAGAAAGCAGCAGGCTCATCTTTGAGCTCTATCACACAGAGGCTTCTGAGACCAGTGTCATAGGCATTGAAAGAGGTTCCCACCCAATTTCCACATTGAAAAGTTGGTACTTGACAGTTGGGCTTAATAAAATCAGTAATTTCTTATGGACACTCTCAAGTGGAACCTTCGTTTATTGCTAGTGTATGTGACTGTAGTAAATAGTATACAGTTTGAGGCCGTTGCTCTGACCTGTACCACTAACCCTGCAGTTTTCCCACCATAACTTTGCACCATTTGTATACATGTCAACGTGGTTAAAAGGAAAGTTATAGAATAACTTTATAAGGAAAGTGTTTTTGACCTCGTATGGAATGGCTTTATGTATCCCTGGGAACACATAGGTTACATTTTGGCATTTTGAGAACTAAAACTCTACATGAACATCCCTGTGTATGCTAAATATCTAAAAAGCCTGTCTCTCCCTCTCCCTCTCCCTCTTCCTCCTTCCCTCTCCCTCTCCCTCCCTTCCTTCCTCCCTCCCTTCCTCACCCCCCGCCCCCGTGTGTGTGTGTGTGTGTGTGTGTGTGTGTGTGTGTGTGTGTGTGTGTGTGTGTGTGTGTGTGTGTGTGTGTGTGTGCAGAGAAACTAGGAGAGGCCTGCAAGTTAGGACCCATCCAACAGGGGCCATCTGTATAACTGAGACCATTTCGCTGACTAGGTTGATATGGCCTCCATCCATTGTTCTACCTTTCTTGGCAGTAAGTTCTCTACCTGCTGCTGTTGCTGAAACATGCTGATGTCCCTGATGCTGCCTTTGTTGCAAGCAGCTGGTTAGTAGGAGGTTTACCAGATCTTACTCCTGCTGTATTTATCTGTTTGTTGTTCAGATGCCCATGTTGTGTTTACACAAAACTAGTATAACTTTTCCAACTTGGGTATAGGTGTTACTGCATTTCAGAGCCTTGCTCTAAAATAGGCCAGCAGGTAGCAAGAGATAGAGCATTGCAAAAGGGCTCTCATGGTAACTCTTGCCTGAATGTTAAAATTATGTAATAGGGGCTTTTGTCTTCTGAGTTTCTATTTGGATTAAGACCTCCCTCAGCTGTGACAGCTGCCTACTGAGCAGGAGCAAGCCGTAGTGTGTCTCCCACTATGCCATGCCTTCTTCCACTCCTCTGTTGGCATCAGCCTCAATCAGGAGAGAGCTGAATGGAGTTCATTCTGCCCAGAACTTTCTAGTAATATACTTTTGAGCAAAGTAGTTATCCTCTCTAACCCTTGTTTTACCTGGGTTCTTGGTGCAGAATGAAGTCTTGTTTATAAGGCACTTGCTGCTGGTTTGCATGAGATAGTTGATTGTTGTAAGCTAGAGCACAGTGAAGCCACTGAACTGGACTACTATGTGGGCAGGAAGAAAGGGTTATTTGGGGAAATTCAAAACTGCCATGACTGTCCCTCAGGAGACAGAGAAAACAGCAAAAGGAAGTGTGCAAGCCAGAATGGCTTGGGAGCTAGCATGGGGACTTTCACATGTGTCACTAGGGAACTAGAAGCCTCATTGCTGGAGGTATTTGGCTGCAGGGAAGAAACGGGAAGTAATGGCTCTTCTTGACAGACAGAAACCTGTTTCACAAGTTTGTGAGGGATGCTTATTTTAAGTTTTTATTTGTTCAGGCGCCATCTTTCTGCCTAGTCAGAATCCAGCCTGAGCTGAGCCCAGACTGTCATTTATGACAATGTGGCAATGTCATTTGGGGGCCCACTTTGGACCTGAGAATTATATCATAAGCATTATCTTGAAAATTCTGTTGTCATACTGGCATCAAAATTTAGATTCCTTTTCCAAGGTCAAATAAGTTTTACTCATTAATATTCAGTGGCAAAGCTTATTGAATGGTATTTTATTTCTGTT